AAACACCGCTATGAACCACTGTTTGGTTTAAAAGTCAACACTATCACTATCAACATCCCTCCTAAGTATAACACAGCTATGAACCACTGTTTGGTTTAATAGTCAACACTATCAAAATCCCGCCCAAGTATAACGCAGCTATGAACCACTGTTTGGTTTAATAGTTAACACTATCACTATCAACATCCCTCCCAAGTATAACGTAGCTATGAACCACTGTTTGGTTTAATAGTCAACACTATCAACATCCCGCCCAAGTATAACACAACTATGAACCACTGTTTGGTTTAATAGTCAACACTATCAACATCCCGCCCAAGTATAACACAGCTATGAACCACTGTTTGGTTTAATAGTCAACACTATTAACATGCCTCCCAAGTATAACACAGCTATCAACCACTGTTTGGTTTAATAGTCAACACTATCACTATCAACATCCCTCCCAAGTATAATGCAGCTATGAACCACTGTTTGGTTTAATAGTCAACACTATCAACATCCCTCCCAAGTATAACACAGCTATGAACCACTGTTTGGTTTAATAGTCAACACTATCACTATCAACATACCTCCCAAGTATAACGTAGCTATGAACCACTGTTAGGTTTAATAGTCAACACTATCAACATGCCTCCCAAGTATAACACAGCTATGAACCACTGTTTGGTTTAATAGTCAACACTATCACTATCAACATCCCTCCCAAGTATAACGCAAATATGAACCACTGTTTGGTTTAATAGTCAACACTATCAACATGCCTCCCAATTATAACACAGCCCTGAACCACTGTTTGGTTTAATAGTCAACACTATCACTATCAACATGCCTCCCAAGTATAATACAGCTATGAACCACTGTTTGGTTTAATAGTCAACACTATCACTATCAACATCCCTCCCAAGTATAACATCGCTATGAACCACTGTTTGGTTTAAAAGTCAACACTATCAATATCAACATCCCTCCCAAGTATAACGCAGCTATGAACCACTGTTTGGTTTAATAGTCAACACTATCACTATCAAGATGCCTCCCAAGTATAACGCAGCAATGAACCACTGTTTGGTTTAATAGTCAACACTAACACTATCAACATGCCTCCCAAGTATAACACAGCTATGAACCACTGTTTGGTTTAATAGTCAACACTATCAACATGCCTCCCAAGTATAACACAGCTATGAACCACTGTTTGGTTTAATAGTCAACACTATCAACATCCCTCCCAAGTATAACACAGCTATGAACCACTGTTTGGTTTAATAGTCAACACTATCACTATCAAGATGCCTCCCAAGTATAACGCAGCAATGAACCACTGTTTGGTTTAATAGTCAACACTAACACTATCAACATGCCTCCCAAGTATAACACAGCTATGAACCACTGTTTGGTTTAATAGTCAACACTATCAACATGCCTCCCAAGTATAACACAGCTATGAACCACTGTTTGGTTTAATAGTCAATACTATCAACATCCCTCCCAAGTATAACACAGCTATGAACCACTGTTTGGTTTAAAAGTCAACACTATTAACATGCCTCCCAAGTATAACACAGCTATGAACCACTGTTTGGTTTAATAGTCAACACTATCACTAGCAACATCCCTCCCAAGTATAACACCGCTATGAACCACTGTTTGGTTTAATAGTTAACACTATCACTATCAACATCCCTCCCAAGTATAACGTAGTTATGAACCACTGTTTGGTTTAATAGTCAACACTATCAAAATCCCGCCCAAGTATAACGCAGCTATGAACCACTGTTTGGTTTAAAAGTTAACACTATCACTAGCAACATCCCTCCCAAGTATAACGTAGCTATGAACCACTGTTTGGTTTAATAGTCAACACTATCAACATCCCGCCCAAGTATAACACAGCTATGAACCACTGTTTGGTTTAATAGTCAACACTATCACTATCAACATACCTCCCAAGTATAACGCAGCTATGAACCACTGTTAGGTTTAATAGTCAACACTATCTACATGCCTCCCAAGTATAACACCGCTATGAACCACTGTTTGGTTTAATAGTCAACACTATCACTATCAACATCCCTCCCAAGTATAACGTAGCTATGAACCACTGTTTGGTTTAATAGTCAACACTATCAAAATCCCGCCCAAGTATAACGCAGCTATGAACCACTGTTTGGTTTAAAAGTTAACACTATCACTATAAACATCCCTCCCAAGTATAACGTAGCTATGAACCACTGTTTGGTTTAATAGTCAACACTATCAACATCCCGCCCAAGTATAACACAGCTATGAACCACTGTTTGGTTTAATAGTCAACACTATCAACATGCCTCCCAATTATAACACAGCCCTGAACCACTGTTTGGTTTAATAGTCAACACTATCAATATCAACATGCCTCCCAAGTATAATACAGCTATGAACCACTGTTTGGTTTAATAGTCAACACTATCACTAGCAACATCCCTCCCAAGTATAACGTAGCTATGAACCACTGTTTGGTTTAATAGTCAACACTATCAACATCCCACCCAAGTATAACGCAGCTATGAACCACTGTTTGGTTTAATAGTCAACACTATCACTATCAACATCCCTCCCAAGTATAATGCAGCTATGAACCACTGTTTGGTTTAATAGTCAACACTATCACTATCAACATCCCTCCCAAGTATAAAGTAGCTATGAACCACTGTTTGGTTTAATAGTCAACACTATCACTATCAACATCCCTCCCAAGTATAACGCAGCTATGACCCACTGTTTGGTTTAATAATCAACACTATCAACATCCCTCCCAAGTATAATGCAGCTATGAACCACTGTTTGGTTTAATAGTTAACACTATCAACATCCCTCCCAAGTATAACGCAGCTATGAACCACTGTTTGGTTTAATAGTCAACACTATCAACATCCCTCCCAAGTATAACACAGCTATGAACCACTGTTTAGTTTGGTTTGAGAATCAAGACAGGCACTTCCTGAACAGGTAAGTCTGTTACAATTCTACAAAATAGTCTGCACCAAAACTGGTAATGTCCAGTTGCCAATGGAAAAAGAAAGTACACAAACCCTTCGGGACCATTGTTACTTGGAATTGATAATGCAGTGCATGTCATAGCATTAAGTAGACAGTTTTGTTTTAACAGCCACATTATCCTCAAAATTAAGTCTGAGTGAGTGAGTGAGTATGGTTTTACGCCGCTTTTAGCAATATTCCAGCAATATCACGGCGGGGGACACCAGAAAAGTCTGAGCTAAAATCATAGAATATTAGGCATTCATGGTTGCTTTATCAATTGCAGGGAATGTCTTCGAGTAGAGGGACCTATCATGTAACAAACAGTCAAGATGATTTGACCAGTGCATTCTATTTAGTAATCAAGTGTACACCAAACGTTGGGTCGTCCTAGATCTGCTATTCAGGATGTTAGAGTACACATATGTCAGATTTGCAACTCAGGAAGCAGTTGATTAATGTTTCATGCAAGGCCACATCTAAACCATTGATGAAAAGGGTCTTCACATGGACACATGAAGCTCCTACCATCTGCCACTTACAACCCTAGGCTGCTACTACGTCCGTTAAATCCAAAACAGTAACAATGATTGGAGTTGTTAGTGTTACAGGGAATTATTTTCCTCCATTTCTGATATTCAAACACAGGCAGTACTGACACTACACTTTTTGTCTTGTATGATGGCCACAAATCTGACATAGAACTTGGACTTAGCCTATGTCCTAAGGAAAGCAACACTGTTTTCCTTTTTTACCACCCCACACCAACCTCCTACTCCCACCTTCGACAGTAGGTGTTACGGGTCCTTGGAAACAGGCTGAACTGCTGCAAATCACAAATACCTCAGGGTGTCTGGAGGAATGGTTAGCACAACAAAAAAAGTTTGCAAGATCGTCTGCAAAGTCGTCAACTCCACAATGGTGCCACACAACATCTTATCTGCATTCCTGACGATCAAGAATATTTCTTTTTCACTCTGAATTCATCATCAATGTTTCTGTGGCTCTATTTCTGTCATTCAAACCCCAGTCAGCATCTGAAACTACTGATCTGACAGCAGCTCGTCAGTAATGTGGCGGAGATGTTTTAGAGAATGTTAAGGGGCCAAGGTTAAGAAACCTGTCAGTAAGACTGTGGGCTGAAAACCTAGGACACCCAGGAACTTACAAAGAGATAGTCTTACATTCATGAGGCGGGCACACTGCATGTCCTGTCAACAATGGGTGTATTCAAAGTTTTGCACAACTTGACATGCTGATTTCGTCTGTCCCCAGTAAAGAGGAGTGATTGAGTCCCACCCAAGCATTGATGTGTTGGAACTATTGTGGTTATCTGAATGGGCTTTATAATGGCAAGCACAGGCTTCCATACATAACGCCGAAAACTGGTGACGTCACTCGCTGTATACACAAACAAAGGCAAGCCCATATGATGACTAGCAGGACTGAATGGCAATAATGTGTCAGTAACAATACAATGTAAGAAGCAGACAACACAGTGTTAAAAACATGTGAACAAATAAATCTGATGTGGATCTAGTGCTTGTCAGCAAGTCCTTACTCTGTCAAAAAATGGAGGAACTTGGGTATTTTAGGACCCTTTCTGATAGGGTGTAGTGTATTATACTCCAGTATCTCACCTGATTAGTCAGACAAGTTACATACCGTCGATTACTCCCGGAATTGTTGGATATATATGTGGTTGAAATTTAGAATAAAAATACAGTCCTGGGATCATAAACCTAATGGCAAAAGATTAAGAGGGTGCATAGATTAATATACCACAGCAGAAACACCCTTTATTTTCTCACACAATCTATCACAAATGCTGTTCTGTCTGACTGGTCAGTCACTGGGGCAGTTGTCCAGTTGGACTTGACATCTGTATGTTACATATTGCTCCGTCTTCACTAGATGATAAACATATTTTCCATACTGAATTAACTGCTTCCCATCTTTATTGATACACCACCACATACCTGATATCTCCAATCTTTGGCGCCCTGCGACTGCGTGGCCGGTATATCTGCTGAACTGGTTCCGCAGATGAGCAGAAGCCACTGGCACCTGCATTGACAGACAAGCACACACATAAATCACCAACAGTACCTCATGCATAATCTACTGTAGTAACACGCACACACACAAAATTGTCAAAAAAGTGTTATTTCTTACATATTTAATAATGAAAGGACTGAAGATATCTTCATACTGAACATATGATCTTGTTGTTTGTTGTTTAACACTACACATAGCAATATTCCATATATGCCTGAAGGTGGCCCGTGAATAATAAAATCTGGACCAAATAAACAAGTGATTGATATTATTACCAACAATCCAGTCCGATTTGTTACATATGACCACTTTCTAAATGGCACTGTGTTCATAGCTTTCAGCCATGGAAGCCGTGCCAATTAACACTTGTCAGAGGGTACACAAAGTTTGTGATCAAGACTACCAGTTGTTGGACTTTCATTTTTGTGGAAGCCTCGGTGGCTGAGTGGGTTAGATCGCTGACTTTGTGTGCTGGCAATTAGGTGCCTCACTCTGGCAGTGCAGGTTTGAATCCCGGATGGCACTCAACCCCAAAAAGTAATAGAATCTGTACTTCACGAAGAAAGCGTTATCCAAAATATAACATTTGTAACATTCATATTTCTCATCCTCACACCCATAAAAAAACATACTTATTTTGAAGAGTCTATTCTTACTTTTATTTTGACCAGCAACCAGGCTTTCAACTATATCTAATAACCCAACTGATAAACAAAGGCATCAATGTTACATAATGTATGGAGATTCCATTCACAGCTGAAACCTGGCTTGTTGTTGACATGCAACTAATGACAGCCAGGCAGCACGTCTCACACTCACTGGCTGGCTCACCACTCACGAGACACCCACAAACACGGGTATGGTGCTCACAAACCTAGAAATTTAATCAGGGCAAACCGGGATTCTAACCCAGGATCATAGGTCTATGGAATGTCCAAGAGACGTGTCTCCATACAGTGAATTGCAGTGCTTTAGACAACTGGGCCATGGGCCACCGCTAACACATCTTGAATTTGACATTATCAAACTTTTGTCCTATCTAGGATATAATATATTTGACCATTTGGTAGCCCATATTCACTGGCATCAATCTGAACTGACTAGAAACTGAACTGATTTGAACTGACAACCCTGTCTTACCCACAAATAATCAATGTGTCCACTTTAATTACCCTGTTAAGTGAAATCAATATGAGCAGCAGAATAGTAACGACAAGAACAATATGCAGTGTGATGGGGACATGACTGAATGTGTCAGCAGATCTCCTTGTGACTCTCATCTCATCCCTTCACAACATGGACGGCATGCTATTCAACATGGCTCTGTGGGTGTGGGTGTGTTTGTGTGTTGTTTCACAACACACTCAGCAATATTCCAGCTATATGACGTGGGTTGTTAAAAATAAAAGTCCAGTGATGGATATTGTGAGCAAGGTTAGATGACAGCCCCACAACCGAGTCCATGAGCTTGGCCACCTGATCCCCAAAAGTGTCTCTTAGGACAAGCACAGATTGCTGGGGACCTATTCTGACCTGGAAATAAAATATGTTAACAAACATTGCAATCTGATGTATTCTGCTGACAACATTGATATTCAAATATTTTCTGCATAATTTGTTAGGACTAACTGACTCAGTAGATCAAGTAATGTCAAGGCCTCTGACAAAAGGCCAGATTCTTTGTCAGTAAGTACGCCCATTTATTGTGATGAACATTAATGTAAAGTTTCAGGCAGTTAAATGAAAGTAAGTACCATTGAAAGTCATTGTTATATCTCTGGGCCTTGTGGGCCCAAATAAACTTACATTTTTTGCACACTGAATAAATATGAACAGAATCAGTTTACCCAGTTCAAGTTGTGGATGAAAGTCATGGTGCTTTCCATGGAAACATTTCAAAGACCAAACTTAAACATGTATATCAAAGTTTCAGATGGGGGAAAAGATTCTTAAATATTTCAAACATCAAACTCAAACTTTAACTTTGATGACTTCTTGTTGTCTGAGGGACAATCATGAATAGTCAATCAGTTCAAAGGAAAGAACATCGAAAACGAAAAAGGCAGACATTCCGATGTAATAAAACATATATTTCATCCTTGTTCTGCTTGAAACTGGCTGAAAAATCAATGTGAGACCTGTTGTGTTGCTACCAATTACAACAGAGTTCATACACATTTGATTAGCCATAAGTTGAAAGAAACGATTCCGGAAGTAAAATAAGATGACACTGCTGGCCTGTTGCCAAGGAGCTGAATAAAGAAGACATCAACCCGCTACAGTTAGTTACATGACATAAACTGAAGATGGCTCCAGTAAGTATCACAACATCAGTCATTGATTTCTGTCTGCTGGTTGTCATTCTGACAGCCTTCCATCACAAACATACCAGCAATGCTTTGGACTTTGTGCTCAACTAGGTCTAAGCACAACCAGGATCCTTGGCAGAGTATGGTTCAACATGACCATGTTATATTTAACAATACCTGTGCAGGTTATTGTCATCAAGCAGTCAAAGACATTTTCTAAAAAGGGATCAACTGTTCAACAACACATATGTGTTACATTCCATAACTGCTGGTTCATGTTTTCATGCAGTTGTATAGTCTCCCTTGCCTTCACTCACTGTATTTACAGAATCTCATCATGCATTTTCAATTTCACTGAAAACTATCAATATGTTGAAGATACCATCAGGATACCCATCTCAAGACTAATTGCGACATACTTCCAACTGACCAGTTGGCTGCTTATTGATTTTGACCTGGCTTTCATTTCACCTGATGACTATGAGAGTAACAAACGAGCTATGGGGAATTACGGTTAATATTTCCTGAAGGAAAACTAATGTATCCCTACACAACAGCAATCAAACAACTTTTTCACGACATCAGATTGTGTAAAATAGTTCACTATTAATAATTTAGTATATTTGTATCACTTTCATTTTCACTTACACAAAAACATGCAAAACATGTTGCTGCATATAATTAATAAACTTTAACAAATGCAAGTCAACAATATTAGAAGTCAACATTGGTGAGTGCGAGAATGTCAGCTCAAGTGGGTCACACATGTTGACAGAACATTACAGCAGCTCAGTAAGACAATTTTAAAGTTTTCGAACATGAACATGATGCCAGACGTGCATACCATCACTGGATGATAGATGGATATGGGATATTTAACAAGTTGTAGTTATTTATTCAGAATCAGAATCCAGCATTATGCAAGGGCTCATTCCACATCAGCACTTGGATGATAGACTGAAAGAACAGACAAAAGGAAAGCCGTGGTATTTCTAGAAACACTGTAATTCCCAAGAGCATAACAGAACATTAAATACCTTCTCCACGGCTTCCTTTCTGGGTAAGTATGAGTATCAAACCACTTACACACCGTGATCACTTAGCAATAAACAACTCATGCTACACAGCAGGAATGACTCAATATTAACCAATCATGTTCTAGAGCAGTGATGACTTCATATTAATCCATGCATGCTAATGAGCAGTGATTGTTTAGTAATAAACCAGAGAGAGAGAGAGAGAGAGACAGAGAGAGGGAGGGTTGCACACAGTATGTGACATATTACAACAGGGTATTAAGGTTGCACACAGTATGGGACATATTACAACAGGGTATTAAGGTTACACACAGTATGGGACATATGACAACTGGGTATCAAGGTTTCACAGAGTATGGGACATATTACAACTGGGTATTAAGGTTGCACACAGTATGGGACATATTACAACAGGGTATTAAGGTTGCACACAGTATGGGACATATTACAAAAGGGTATCAGGGTTGTACACAGTATGGGACATATTACAACTTGGGGCCAGGTTACACACAGTATGGGACATATTACAACAGGGTATCAAGGTTGCACACAGTAGAGAACATATTACCACTTGGGATCAAGGTTGCACACAGTAGGGGAAATATTACAACAGGGTATCAGGGTTGCACACAGTATGGGACATATTACAACTTGGGATCAAGGTTGCACACAGTGGGGGACATATTACAACTGGGTATCAAGGTTACACACAGTATGGGACATATTACAACTGGGTATCAAGGTTGCACACAGTATGGGACATATTACAACAGGGTATCAGGGTTGCACACAGTATGGGACATATTACAACATGGTATTAAGGTTGCACACAGTATGGGACATATTACAACAGGGTATTAAGGTTGCACACAGTGGGGGACATATTACAACAGGGTATTAAGGTTGCACACAGTATGGGACATATTACAACAGGGTATTAAGGTTTCACACAGTATGGGACATATTACAACAGGGTATTAAGGTTGCACACAGTGGGGGACATATTACAACAGGGTATTAAGGTTGCACACAGTATGGGACATATTACAACAGGGTATTAAGGTTGCACACAGTGGGGGACATATTACAACAGGGTATTAAGGTTGCACACAGTATGGGACATATTACAACAGGGTATCAGGGTTGCACACAGTGTGGGACATATTACAACAGGGTATTAAGGTTACACACAGTGGGGGACATATTACAACAGGGTATCAAGGTTGCACACAGTGGGGGACATATTACAACAGGGTATTAAGGTTGCACACAGTATGGGACATATTACAACAGGGTATTAAGGTTGCACACAGTGGGGGACATATTACAACAGGGTATTAAGGTTGCACACAGTGGGGGACATATTACAACAGGGTATTAAGGTTACACACAGTATGGGACATACTACAACAGGGTATCAAGGTTGCACACAGTGGGGGACATATTACAACAGGGTATTAAGGTTGCACACAGTATGGGACATATTACAACAGGGTATTAAGGTTGCACACAGTGGGGGACATATTACAACAGGGTATTAAGGTTGCACACAGTGGGGGACATATTACAACAGGGTATTAAGGTTGCACACAGTATGGGACATATTACAACTGGGTATTAAGGTTGCACACAGTAGGGGACATATTACAACTGGGTATTAAGG